GTTACATGTACTTACTATTATAATGACAATTAATTATGCATAATTACATGCAAGTAACCCTAATCCTAACACTAACCATATAGTAAGTACATGTAGTTAATTAATATTACTCAGTACTTAAATGTAAAATTACACTGTAACAAGGACACATTAACCAAATATTATTTTATAAAATATTATATTTTTTTAAATATTTTATTTTTTTAAAAAAGGTAATTGCGACTTTTTCTTTCACAATTTGGACTTTTTCCCTCACAATTCTGAGCTTATATATATAAAAAATAACATAAAATGGCAAGATATAAACTCAAATATATATATTCTGAGAAAAAAAGGTCAGAATTGTGAGATATAAACTTGCAATTGTGAGGAAAAAAAAAGTCATAATTGTAAGATAAAAAGTAGCAATTAACTTTTTTTTTTTACTCTGTGACAAAAATAAAAATTGCAAGATATAAACCGCAGAATTATGAAATGTAAACCTCGACTTGTGAGAAAAATAGTCAGAATTTTGCATTTATACAGTATTTTGCAATTCTGAATTTATATCTCATAATTCTGCTTTTTGCTTACACCGCAGAATACAACATAAAATTAACTGCGACTTTTTTTTTTTTCTCTGAATTGCAAGAAAAAGTCAGAATTGAGCATTATAAAGTCGCAGTTACCTTTTCTTATTTTTTTATTATTCCGACAAAACAGGCTTCCATATATATCATACTTGGTGCCTCAATCTGTCTCTTTTAGAGAGATTCTCATCCTGTATTTCAGTGGATCATATATCTATCAAATGCCACATGAATGACTATGATATACTGTGCAGTTTGTAAGGGGTACACAGGGTCTTTTCTTGCCAGACTGATTGCTGGTCATATTCCTCAGGCGGTTTTGTAAATAAAGAACACTGTGATGCGAGCGAGTGTGGCGATCCGTGATTGGCTGCATGCAGATGCTTTTGAAACACCCCTTAAATAATTAGACTTCTTATGTAAATGCCTCGCATGACAAATACTGTGCTCACATTATCATTCAGAAACATACTATGTGCAAATGACTGATATTAGTTCATAAATCATTTCCCAGCCTAACCTTTCATGCAGAGTTTTGCTGCAATTTGTAACAAGCCAAGCACATAAACAGCAAGCATAGCTTATGTAAAACAGCATATGCATAAATATTTGGCCTGGGTGAAAGTATGAGGACTGATGAAAGCGAGTGTTTGAAGTTGTAGCTTCAGAGAGAGAGAGAGAGAGAGAGAGAGAGAGAGAGAGAGGCTTTGTGCCGGACAAGCCGACTGATACAAAAGCAGCGTGGCCGGCTGCATCCAGCTCTGCTCTCTGTAATCTATTATTCAACAGGGACTCAGCTGCCTTCCTGAGGCTTTACAACCATGAGAGAACAGGAATGAGGCAGAATAACTTCAGTTCTGTGTGTTTCAGCTCACAATCTCTGTATATACTCTGCCTTACCAGCATATTCACAAACAGTTCTCTA